GGGGGGGGAGAGAGAGAGAGAGAGAGCGACGGTGATGTTGCTTATCCACGATCGAACAACACAGCTCGGTGAAGAAATCCGGAAACCCATTAGAAACCGGCAGCTCGACAACTTACAATCGCGTTCTGGACCAGCGTGTCCGCGTGGTTGTTAACGACACTCGCGGCCATCGCGCTCTTCAACGCGTCTTTTCGCTCGCTCTGATGCGCGCTCTTCCTATACTTGCTGGCGATAATGTCCGTGGTGCTGGGCCTAATCTTCGCTTGGCCTCCGCCGCCGGCCAATTGAACGTACGTCTCCTCCATCGCTGCGTACTTCAAGATCAAGCTCTCGATCTCCTTCCTCTTCGCCGCCCTCTCGGAGATCGCTGGGTCAGTCTCCTCCTCGGTGTCGATAGTCGGGAGAACGTTGTTATCGCTCGCGTTATCGCCGAGCATGCTGCTCGTCGGCGTTTTATCAGGATCCTCGTCGTTCCTCGCCTTGGTAGCCGACGGTTCCACTTTCATCGGCCGAGCGAGCCGAAGAGCAGCGGCAGCGGACGACGACGACGACGACTCCAGCTGCTCGCTTTTCCCGTTTCTGTAAGGTCTCACCTTTCTCGTGCGAGTCTCCGCGTGGCCGGACTTGTGCCTGCCGTATCGGCGGCACGTGTCCGAGTTCAGCGAAGAGTGTTGTTGTTTGTCCGCGTGGTGATAGCCAGGCGTTTTCTCGCGTTTGAACTCCTTCACGGTGGGGGACTTCACGTACGGGTAGGCTTTCTCCGAGAGTATCACGCTGGCTGGGCTTTTGATCACCGTCCGCGTCATCGACGGCTCCAGGGTCTTCTCGTCGCGAACGAAAGGGCTGTCCTCGCGACGGAAGTACGTGTGATCACGATGATCCCGCTCGCGGGTTCGCCTGTAGTCGACGGAGGGTCGATCCGCCCGATCCTGCTGCTTCTTTCGCGAATATTTGTCCAGGATGGCGGAGTACTTGTCCTCAATGCGTGCCCTCGCGCTGTTCAGCTGGATGACGATGGGCGAACGTCTTGCGACCGACGACGGTTTGTCGTTCACCGTCGACATCCCTCGCACCCTGGTGGTCAATCGTTGCAGGAGATTGGAACACGAGTCGCTGAGCAGCTGCGTGACGCTCGTCGTCGTCGACGAACGAGCGTAACGACTTCGCCGGCCCGTCGAGCCTTGACGAGACGTCGACATGTTGTCGCGCGGCGCGAAGATGAACATCGAGACGTAGTTTCGACGCTCACCGCCGCTCTCTCACCTTGGCCGATACTTGAAAATTTGAGTCGACCTCCGCTCGTTGATGCGACAGAGGAACTTTCACTCGATGATCTCTGATTGATTAGTCGATACCCTCGAGACTTGGACTTTCATCCTGGGATCTTCGTCGATCGTTCGACTGATTGATTAGATTTTTTTCTTCCACTCTGTTAAAATGAAGCAAAAAATCTTTGCTGGATCTTCGTGGATCATCTGAATACGTTTACACTCGCAGGTAGAGTAGAAAACCTCCTCGTTCGATTGTCCGACGATACAAAAACACAGCTAGAAAATCTTCGTTCGAGGGATCGAAATCATTTTGGCTGGCAGCAGGCAGAACTACTCGTCGCTTCGAATCTTCGGTCTCGATTCGAATGAAACGGAGAGTCTCGACTTAACGTCGCCCAATATACTCCGGAGCGGAGAACTATCTTTTCCCTGCCCGATTGACTGTATTTCGCAGCTTCCTCTCGCAATCCTATTTGTTTCCGCGCGATCCGACACACACGTCAGCCCTCGCTCGCGCGCGCGTTTCCTCGAATCTCGAGGTCGAATTGGCTCCTCGAACCGCGGTTAGAACAGTCAAGGTCACGTTACACCAAGAAAAATTCGCGCATTCGACAGCACGCGAGATTCCGCAGATTCTGACTTCTCTTCCAGAGAGAGTGAGCGAGAGAGAGAGAGAAACACCACAACACTCGCGAAAACGGAGACTAGGTTAGAGAATCACGATCTCACGGAGGATTCAGAGCGATCCAGCGACGATTGCCGGGTCGGCGATTTATCGACGCGGTTCATCACTTGGCCCAGGGACGCCGACGAAGGCACTAACGAAGAGCAAGCACGACCACAAAATCAACGGCCACGGAGCCGACGTCGACCGTCCACGAAGACGAAGACGAAGACGAAGACGAGATGGAAGAGAAGGAGAAGGAGAGGATTCGATGCGCCCCGCCAAATACTCTCGTCGCACTAAAAATATCGAGCAGCGGTGGTGAGCTATACCCACCGACCATTCTAAATCTATCTTTCTCTTTCTCTCTGTTTCTGTTTCTCTTGGCCTTTCCCTTCACCTCACTTGTCTTCTCTTCGATCTATTTCTCTCTGTCTTGTGTCGAAAACGAACACGCTGCTTGGTCTTTCGATGAGAAACAGGCAGGAGGAATTGCAGAGATAAAGAGAGGATTGAGAGAGAAAGAGTGAGATGGAGATAGAGTGGTAGAGTATTACGTAAATTTGTCCCTCGGTTATTCGGAATGGCGAAGTTCGGCACGCTCTTCAGGATCGTCTTGGCAAAGCCACCGCTTCCTGGTGCACGACGAGGTCGACAGGCGTGTTTAGGTTATGGTTGCAAGCATAGTTTCGATGGATTCGATCATCGTACGCAGGATGGTGTCAGAATTTTCACGGATTTTCAAGCAATGAAAGCAACGAGCAGAAATTGTCGCGAGTGAACGAAGTGTAGCCCTTATTTAAACGAAATCTCTTTTCCCGCCCTCGCAATAGCAACCGGAAGTCAATCACAAGTCCGTGTTTCATCACAGTACGTGTAAGAAAATTTCAACTTGGAACGCGAAAAAGAAAAAAAAAAAGAATTCGGAAACGAGAAATTGAAGGACTGAAGAACCGACTTGTTTCGAACGAATCATTAATTGATCTCAATCCGATGTACCCCAGAGATGGTACACTTGTAGCATATAGAGGGCGCGTTTTCGCACGAACGCGTGCCCGATGTTTCTTGGTCCCTGTGCTTCGTTTTCTGTCACTGCGCCTCGCACCTTGACACATATAGAAATTACGAAATCGGAGGAGGAGCGCGTTTCGAACGGGAGCAGCGCAGCTTTCGTGGCATTAAATTCCGATCTGCACCGGTGGCGGA